TATTATGCCTAAAGATTTATATTACAGTCGAAGAAACGCTAAAATCGTATTTAAAACGAATTTTATTTTTCTATATGACACACATGCATACACACACATATATGTAATTGTAATTTTCTTGTACAAGTTGCTTTATCTTCTGATAAATAAACTTTATTAATCATTAAATAAAGAAAATAAAATTAAGATAAACAAGCAATATTAGTAATTATTACACTTTTTTGAGTAATGTATAATTATATATTTATATCTGATTTCGCATGTATATATATATATATATATATATATATATATATATATATATATATATATATCTGCAGATAATTAAATCGGTAATCAAATTAGAAATTACTGACAATGATAATAAAATTTTAATACACAATCTTTATATATGCGACGTAATAATTTTTTTTTCATTATATGTGATTATATTATTACCACACAATGAAAATAAAAATTTCAAACACTATTGAATAATGCTAATGCTGTTTATAATTTATTTTTATTTATTTATTATTCTCTTTATTTTTCTAATAATCATTTTAAGTATCTAGAATATAATTAAAAAGTGAATAGAAGTCGAATGAAAAACTATATTAAAGAACATTAATATGTCCTATTTTTATATTATTAAGTTATTATTGATCTGTGAGGAATTAATATGATACAAAGAAAGAAATAGTAGGGATTAAATTATTATTTTTTTATTTCTCATGATATTTTCTAAGTCAACAATAAAATTGGATAAGAGCCTCTCTGCTTCTAATATTCAACCTTAGTAAAGTTTGTATATTGAAAATCTACTGCTTAAGATGAGTGGCCACAGATTAATTTTCATAAACGACATAAAAAAATTTCCATTTATATTAATGACAAGATAAGTTATACCTATATATAATATATTAATTTTGACATTTATTTTTAATAATTAGCAATGTATAAGCTAATATTATTAAAAAATTGTATACAATAAGGATGGATAATGAAGACAAGATAATGAAGCTGCACAAAACATTTATAAGTCATTATATATAAATATACATATGTGAATAATTACGTACATATGCATACATATGCACGTACATGTACATACATCAATTATATCCAATTAATACTTTCGTATTATTGTTATATTCATTGATATTATGAATGTAAATTGAAGCAAATCATTTGTCTTTAACTGTAAAGATTTAACGATACGATTATTATAACATGCATATGTACTTTATTCATTTGCTAAATGCATATTTTAAAGTATAGACGTAGGTTAGCAGTGTATTCAATAAACTAAATCATTAACCCTATTATTATGTACTCATAGATTGAAAACTCGTTCAATTGATAAGATCAGAAGATGTAATCAAACGTACGAATCCGAGCATTGAAAATATAATTACGATTATGTAGCAAAAATGACATCAAATAATAAAATGAAATGGCGCAGAGTGTAAATATTACTTTCAGTAGAGAATTTGTAATAAAGCCGTATAGGAGAAATGAGAAATTACTGTATAATAGAAAATTATATGGAAAATTAATGCAGCTAGTTGTACGTGATTTCAGCTAAAACATAATAACTTGTGTTTTAAAATCATATTTTATTCCGCGACTATCACTTGTCAACATTGTAAAACGTGAAATAATTTTTATTTTACCATTATTTTTTGCTGCTATTAATGAAATAAATAAGAGGCATATATAGAAGAGTTATGTTGTTTACATAATAAGCCATTGAAAGATAATTCGAGAATTATTCAGGGAATAATTGCCATGCGTTAAATGATCTCTTTTGTCTATTAAATATGTATGTAAACATGTCCATCTGTCATCGCAAGGCTCGAATTTTTAAGTGAAAATTTTTCAACCAAGCACGACATTTCTCTCAAGACAGTTGGTTCTTCAATGTTCGAATATTTTTGGCATCCGCGCTCAGAGTCGATTTTATGCTCTAACTAACGAGAGTTAAGTTTATCCCTTTGAGCACCGACTCTACGCTCCTCCGTTTCTAGCCAGTTGCGCGATGCGCGCGTGCACATTCAATCGTGCACACACATATGTCGCCTTTTATTAGATAATTTAGACATTCGTGTGGCACGCGGATGTTATCAGCGAGCCGCGATAAGCACACGTGCGCACGAGAGTATCGGTCCTCGATGGAAGAAAAATGCACAAGTAGTAGCGCATAGGCTTCGAGCTTGAGTCTCCGACTTCAAGTCGAAGCCCCCGTCCTCTCTATTGATTTACCAGGAGCGTAATTCGTTATTTATAGTACCCCATGAGTTTATCTCATTTTGTGTACCTCGTTCCCCGTGGATTTCATCATTAATTTAAGTTGAATTGACAAATGCTGAGAGGCCAGCGAGTGGAATATTTCTTCTCTGCAAAAATTCATATTTTTCCATGAATTTTACGGAAGAGATTCGAGGAGAGATTCGACTGTAGTGTTGCGAGATAATGTAACGATGATAATAGACGATTGTGCTTAAGTCTTGAAAAATAAGCCAGCTTGATCGAGTAGCAAAGAGTTTCAGTGCTTTTTTTTTTTTTTTACTTTGGATATCGCCTAATTATAAAGTCAGTGACATGACGTTTATTCGTAACAATAAATAAGAAAATTATTTAAGATGCTTTTCATTTTTCACGGATTATTATTATTTTTTTCTTTATACAAAATATTCTCTTTGATGCATACCTTAAGATGTCATACGTGAGTGTATTATTTTATTTCATAAATATGGGATCCAAATATAACGATACTATCTTTTTGTATTAAATGTATAATAATTTAATGGGAAAAATGAAAAGAAAGGAACATAAATTGAAAGTAAATTGGTTTTTTTTTTTTTTTTTTTTTTTTAAACACGATGGTTATTAAAACTATGGATGGCTATTACTAGATAGTATAGTCTGACAAAAGCAAATTACCAGTCAATTAATATATATATATATATATGAAAAGTTTCTTGTGCAAATATAATATAGAATATTTTTGTAAAATACTTGTAAACTAAAATACTACTACGCGGAAAATATGGGGTATATACATTTAAAAAGGTAGAGACTCTATATATGATTTGTAAAAGACCAAAATTAATTAGATTGCTATTTGTTTCGAGCGAATATCGTCGTCACTAATAAACGAGGCGATACATCGAAGGAACGATACCCAACAAATATCGAACGAGTTATTCTGGAAACGACTAGAATTATGTGAATGATCAAATGATTATTTGATGTATCGACACTTTGACGCCAATCTTTAACTATATTGGTAAGAGGAAAAATCTTAACTTAAGATATTTAACTATATTATTTCATCAAATGAGAATGATTATTATTGATTAAATTAAGTTCAATTGCGTATTGAAAATCTAGCTTTAAGCACGGAAAATATCTACATCTATTTTCGGAAGATCGATATTTTATTCGTAAAATTGTCGATCGATGGAAAAAATGATGTATTAATTGAGACAAGTTCAGTGAGAAGTGAATTCGAATAAGAATAGAATTATTAGGAACGATTGGTACATGACAGTCTGCCTACACCCGTACCGCTAATACACGATTTAACATTAATTACTCGTAACATCTCTTGGCAATGTGCGTTAATGTTAAGTTCTTAATGCTCACGAGGAGGTATTCTAATCGAGTCTACTCGGCCATTTGGAATTAATTCAAGGAGTTGATGCAAAAAGTTGAAGCACATTGTTAAACAAGCGCATTTGAAGAATCGGATGCTCAAGGAAGATGTTTAACCGAGTCATTCGTCATCTCGACGAAATCTCGGTCGACCACCTCTACAAAGCACCGGCTTATCGTCAACACACTCAAAAGAAATGCCACCAGGGACTGGTGCCCCTTCCCCCTCATGCCCTCGCACTCTCATTATCACACACACACACACACACACACACACACACACACACACACACACACTCTCTCTCTCTCTCTCTCTCTCTCTGTTTCACACAAACACACGCACGAACGCACGCACGAACGCACGCAGGCACGCTCGCAAACACACGCGTGCACACATACACCTATGTGAGCGGACGGAAACAACACAGGCTCGTAAGGCACTCGCGGCTCTCCTGGCGGCTTTTTCGTGTGCGCACGGAACGCTCGGAGGAGAGTCCTCTCATCCCTACCACTTGGAACACGGCGTTTTTACATCGCGAGTAGGCGGTGCCAGTACACGCGAGCCCCGCGACGCATACGTATAAAAGACAAGAGCTGACCGCGCGCGATCCGATAATCCCAGTTATATATCCAATAGACGCACAAGCCATCGCAGCTTCGCGAGCACCTCGCAATCCCAGTTGACGGGCCCTACTTCAAGCTTTCTTCCCCAAAATCAACCCCCGGCCGAACCAAGGTGGCCGTGTTTACATCTCGCATTCGAAAAAGGCGCGCTACCACCTCTCGAGTGAGAGCGCGACGTCTCATTTAGCCGGTCTGCGGCCGCGAGTAAAGCCGTGCTGCGCGGGGGAACATTCACGGAGGCGCCGACAGTTGGCGCTAAAACTCCAGACAGACAGCAGCAGCTCGTGCGCGGGAGTTGCGATAGAGCAGCGGAGCCGATAAAGACGATCACCCCGCGAGTAGCCAGCAATCAAATAGCCGCACAAGTCTACAAGCCGAAAAAAGATACACACACACACACACACACACACACACACATATATATATATATATATATATATATATATACAGAGAGAGAGAGAGAGAGAGAGAGAGAGAGAGAGAGAGAGAGAGAGAGAGAGAGAGAGAGAGAGAGAGAGAGAGAGAGAGAGAGAGAGAGAGAGAGAGAGAGAGAGAGAGAGAGAGAGAGAGAGAGAGAGCAAGAGATAGCGATAGTGGGATAGAGAGTGGCCGGTGAGAAGAGTGAGGGACGAGGTGAGGGGGACTCGAGATAGAGATAGTAAGAGAGAGAGAGAGAGAGAGAGAGTGAGAGTGATAGGGTGGGAATCAGGGTGGGAGGGAGGGTAGGGAGATAAGGGAGAGGGTAGGAAAGAAGGAGCAAGCAATTGTCACAACACAGCCACGTGTAGGCACATACGAAAGCTCACGCACAGGCACGCGCGCACGCACGCACGTACGTACACAAAGCCAAAAGTTACGATTGGCCCTACAAGCCACGAGGCACCGAGAGCCGACGAGATAAGGGAGCGAAGATGTCGTCCTCGCAAAACAGGAGGCAGTTTATGCAGCCATGGCCCCTCTGCTTGATGTCCTTTGGCAAGTCCAAGGTAAGCTCTTTTTGTTCCTTTAGCACTTTCATCACCCATTTCGACTGATAGGCACTTTTTTGCATCTACGCAGTCGTATTCGCGACTTCCTCCCTCTCCCTCTTTCCATACCTTCTTACCAATCGCACTAATTACCTTATAAGGGAGCGAAGATGTCGTCCTCGCAAAACAGGAGGCAGTTTATGCAGCCATGGCCCCTCTGCTTGATGTCCTTTGGCAAGTCCAAGGTAAGCTCTTTTTGTTCCTTTAGCACTTTCATCACCCATTTCGACTGATAGGCACTTTTTTGCATCTACGCAGTCGTATTCGCGACTTCCTCCCTCTCCCTCTTTCCATACCTTCTTACCAATCGCACTAATTCCCTTGTCCCCCCCCCTCATCTCTCTCTCTCTCTCTCTCCCTCCCCCCGCCCCACTCCACCCCCTACCACTTCCCCCATTCCTCCATTCGTCAATTCCACCCCTCTGTTCTCCTCATCTCTCCTCCTCATCGCTCCCACCAATACTGATAAGAACGGTAATGTTTAAGTGACTGGCAAATACGATTCATCGCAAACCGGTAAACATAATAAAAGCCAAATCCGATGCAGTGTCAAATATAAAGCTAACCGCCTTTCCTTGACTGGAAATGTAATGGTAAATAAATTGTCATTAAGCCACGCTTCCAGATTATAGCAATTGAACGCTGTCGTCGAGTCGATACTTCGCCGTGTATCTAATAGCGACGTAAACGCGGGTTCCGCAACAAGTGTCGTGGAATGAGCTGCAAAAACTGCATACTTTAGAGCTCTTGGGAACGTGCATTCTGATCGCTGTTGCACACTCTCTATATATAGAAACGCGAAACGTCCGAATTGCTTGGGTGAAAGAGTATGATAGCGGGGAGCGGCGGAAGGTTTACTTTTTCGCCATCCGCTAAAGATACGGAGAGTGCGGAATAAGGGGAGAGGCGGAATTTCGGTGATTTTGGAATTTCGATGATTTTTGAATTGAGGAATTGAGGAATTTTGGAATTTTGATGGTCGCGCTATGGTCGGTTAATATACGAATAATAACTCCGCGTGCCATTTACATTCGTAGCTAAATGAATCTCGTCGGCGGAGCGCGCGATTGACGTGGCGGCAAGGCAACAACGGCGACGAGAGCGATTATAAAATAAATGCGCCGGTTATCGCAACGCACCTACCGTAATCGATGATAGGCCGCCGGCATTTTTCGCCAGTGCAGAATAATCGCCAAGGAGCCTCGTCTCTGCCTTATTTTGCGCTCTTACGACATGTAGGATCGGCCG